AAGAACTCATAAGCAGTGACACTGAAGCCTAATCTCAGATGCAGGCCAAAAATGGCTCTTTCATAAATATTCAATGAGCTCTGGCTGAGGCTGCTAGGCCTCAAAGTACAAAGATGAATAAAATATGGGCTCAACCCCTCCAGGTTCCCAGCTCAGGGAATGCAGTTGGCACACAAACCAAGCAAGCCAGCGAGGCACAGTGGAACCCTGAGAAGGCCTCCCTCTGAGGGGTCATGTAGGTTGGGTCTTGCAGGTTGGGTCATGCAGGATCAGTAGAAGTTCAACAGGTAGAGAAAGGAGTGGAGGTGGGGTAGGTTGGTCAGGAATACTCATTCTAAGAACAGGGAATAATATATGTGAGGCACAGTGAGCCCTTCATTCTTCAGGTGGTCTGTGTTCACAGCATTTCCTTTCACCTTCTAGTCCCTAAATGATCTGATCAAGTCATTAACCCTGTGCTGTGCCACCCAGAACCCTCTGCAGGACCCAGGCACTCATTCTCCCTACTGGCTATTGGGAGCATTGATTGCTGATGCTGATGCTTACAGCTGAGTCCTTCTTCAGGAATCAGCCTCAGATAGCTCTCTTGCCCAAGGTCATGTATCCCCAGCCCCCTCTTCCAGGGGCAGCCACATGCAAATGACTGATCAAAGCAGGAGTATAAAGGCCCAGCCCCCTTGTTTCAATTCAGGGAACTCTGCAGGATATCCCAACTCCAGAGCTCCCCATGGGATCAGCTGGGGCCTCTCTAGGGCCTCCAGTCTCCATCATAGCCCAACTCATCTTTCTGTCGGATCCTGTTTCTTTTATACCCTCACAGGTGTTGAGTGGGGATGTATACCCCAAGAAACCTCCTTCAAGAGTATCTCCACTTCAGAGTGTTTTCTAGGAAACTTGCCTAAGATACTCATTAAAGTGTAAATGATTACTCAATTTCAAGGGATGTCTTTCCTGGGGGTGTTTGTATAGCAATCAATAACAATAACTAATAACCATAGAGTGATTTCTATGTGCTAGGCACTACATTAAGTGTTTTGCCTATATGAGCTTATTTAATAAAGAACAGAAGAAACTTATGCCAAAGGAGTGAATTTCTTTTTCTTTTTTTTCAAAGATTTTATTTATTTATTTGACAGAGAGAGACGCAGCGAGAGAGGGAACACAAACAGGGCGAGTGGGAGAGGGGGAAGCAGGCTTCCCGCGGAGCAGGGAGCCCGATGTGGGGCTGGATCCCAGGACCCTGGGATCATGACCTGAGCCGAAGGCAGACGCTTAACGACTGAGCCACCTAGGCGCCCCAGGAATGAATTTCTAATGGTGAAATTTCAGATTTAGGGAAGGTGAAATTGTCAGCTTAGGGAGACTGGAAGTGTTTGTGTGGCACATATTCTGTCACAGTTTTCTCTGTCTCACTGTTTAGTCCTAATCTTTTGTACTGGCTGACTGGCTGGGCAAAGCCCCCAGCAAATCAGGGTTGGGGCTCTCAAACTCATTCTTCCTAAAAAAAAAAAAAAAAAAAAAAGAAGCAGGACTTCTGCTTAGTAGTGCAATATATATTTCTGTTCTGTCTTTTTTTCTGGGGTCTCACTTCTTAGGAGCCTATGTGGAGGTAAATTCCTCTGAAAGCCTAGTACTCCTGTTCAGGACTCCCCAGACATGTTCTGAGAAATGGCGACATTGTTCCTAGTACTTCCTCTCCCTTCCTGGGCAGCTCCTGTAGCCACCCTTACATCCTCCTTCTTTAGACATGGGCTTTCCAACTTTCCCTTCTGTCATTACCTCCCTCCTGGTGGGGGCTGACCTGAAACCTCTTGTTCCCCAGGCGGAGCCTCCCTCTATCCCTAAGGCAACTCCTTCCTGGGGAGCATGCCCAGGCAGCAGGCTGTAGCCCCGACTAGCCCTCCACCCCTCAGGAACATGTCCCAACATGTTGAGCACTGGCATAGAGGGGGCTGGTGGCTGTTCTGTCCTGCCGGCTGCCTGCTTTGGGGCAAAGGGGCGGTGGTAGGACATAGGAGACCCCCAGAGACCCCAAGAAGACTTTGGTCTGAATTTCTCTGAACAGAAATATGTGGTTTGCAGCAGATCCCTTGGGATTGGCCTGGGATCTGGGGGGTGTGTGTATGTGTGTGTGTGTGTGTGTGTGTGCATGTGTTTGTGTGTGCATGCACACAGGCATTTTTTGCATCAGATCTTGTGTGTGACTTCTAACAACCTGCTCTTTTGCCCTCTTCATGGCAGAAGTCCTCCTTTAAGGGCATATCTGGCTACACACTCAAGCGCATGGTTGGGAACTTTTAAAAAAAGTACTGAACAGTATTAGACACTTAGTAGGTACTTAATAAATATTTGTTGAGTTCTGTGGTGGTGGTGGTGGTGGTGAGCTAGAAGTTATAAAAAAAAAATCCCCCACAGGGCGCCTGGGTGGCTCAGATGGTTAAGCGTCTGCCTTCGGCTCAGGTCATGGTCCCAGGATCCTGGGATCGAGTCTCGTGTTGGGCTCCCTGCTCCTTGGGAGCCTGCCTCGCCCTCTGCCTCTCTCTCTCTCTCTGTCTTTCATGAATAAATAAAATCTTTGAGAACAACAACAACAAAAAAATCCCCCACAAAACTCACTTCCCAAAAACAACAACAAAAAGAATTATTTCATTGTGAAGTTCAGCACCACAAAACTTTAAATAATTCGATACAAGCCTTCATTAAAAATTTTTTTCCCCAAAGTAAACAGACAGACAATGTCAAGTCTATTTGAAATGCCTGAAAGCCAAGGGGATTCAAGGCATTTGGAGGATATGCTTGTCCTCTGCTGGACATTTGACAACCCAGCCTTTGGGTATGTGTGTGTTGGGGGACAAGGGGGAGGGGCAGTATTGAGAAAGGAGCTAGGGAGGAGGGGACTGGTCCTGGGGTCTTGGCCTTTATGAGGCCCTCCTGAGGTCCAGCTGTAGTCCTGGCCTGAGTCCAATATCAGGCAGGCAAGGGAGTCTGGTGCTCTGCCCTCCCACCCCTACCCGGCTCCTATGCCCGCAGTAGAGGGGAAGGTCTGTCCTCCCCGAGGTCAGCTGTGTTAGAGGAAGAAGATGGGGCATGTCTGGGCAGAGATTTCCAGACACTGAACAGTCCTGGATGTCCGTAATTGTAGCTGCCCAAGCCTGGGTTCTATTTTTTAGAGGGATTTCTGTTCAAAGTAACATTCTGTTCTCTGCAATTTTTTAAAAAAGATTTAAAAATCTATTCTATTCTGTTTATTTATTTATTTTTTAAAGTAAGCTGTACGAGATGCCTGGGTGGCTCAGTCAGTTAAGCGTCTGCCTTCGGCTCAGGTCATGATCCCAGGGTCCTGGGATCGAGTCCCACACCAGGCTCCTTGTTCAACAAAGAGTCAGCTTCTCCCTCTGCCTGCCGGTCACCCTGCTTGTGCTCCTTTGCTCTCTCTCTCTCTGCCAAATAAATAAATGCAATCTTAAAAAAATAACAATAAAGCAAGCTCTATGCTCAACATGGCCCTTGAACTCAGATGCCAAGATCAAGAGTCACATGTTCTACTGACTGAGCCAGCCAGGCACCCACCCCTGTTCTCTGTCATTTTCTAAAAGCAAAAACTACAAATATTTCAGGTGAAAGGAGGCAAAAATGGGAAGCAAGACGAGCTAGTGGTGGGAAGTGGGTGGGAGGAAATGGTCACCTCACTTGCTTCTGGACCAGCAAGAAGCACAAGTGGACGTTTCCAGAATTGTTTTTCATCAGTGTCACCTCAGTACACTGCCTGAAAATGAGGGGTGCTGGGTGCTTCCCTCTTTCTAGAGCCACTGAAATAGAGAGGGCAATGAGCAGAGAGCTGGGGGAGGCAATAGGCCTATGCTCTAATCATAGCTATTTATTTGCTGTGTGACCTGAGTCAGGTCACTGAACTCCTCTGAGCCTCAGTTTCCCCAGCAGTGTAAGTGAATTGTTTGGGGGAAATCCAGGAGACAATTTGCTTACCAAAACCTTCTCCCCTTCCCAGCCAACAGATCTGTTGCTATCAGGGGCGTCCGGGTGGCTCAGTCGGTTAAGCATCTGCCTTCAGCTCAGGTCAGGATCCTGGGGTCCTGGGATTGAGCCCCCATCAGTCTTCCTGCTCAGCAGGGAGCCTGCTTCTTCCTCTCCCCTTCCCCCTCACCCCTTCTCCCTCTCCCTTTCCCGCTGCCCCTGCTCCTGCTCTCTCTTTCTCACTCTCCCAAATAAATAAAATCTTTTAAAAAATCTGTTGCAATCATAGAAATCTCTACTGTTGAGGTGAGAAGGAGGTGGATGTGGGCAGTGAGGAGGCAGTAGGGAGGTTAGTTCAATGTCTAATTTTCCCCATTTCCTGGTTTCCCCTGGAGACCTGGTTGGCCTTTTTTTGAGAAGGATTCCTAATTCCCTCCTTCCTTGAGGCATTTGACAAGCAACAACTTTGCATCCCTTTAGTTCTGAGGACCTTGATTTCCTCATCTGTGAAATAAACGGGATCGAATTCTGTTCTGGTCTCCAACATGCTTTGTTGGGGTGTCTGGATTCTTCAGGTCCTACTTAGGGAGAGGTGGTCCAGTGAGGGATCCGCGGGCATAGCGGTGGTATAGCGGGCATTTCTGGGGATTGCAAAGCGAGGTACATCCTTTTTATTATTTATGGAGTTTTATCTATTAATGTCACCCCTCGTGATGTTTTCGGGGCCAGAAAAATTGCTCATCCTAAGAATGCCATCCCTTCGTGGGGAGTACCAACTCACACCCCAATTCAAACAACCCAGATTTGTGGCTCAGTTCGTGGGGACATGTGTTAAGCACAGAGGCCCAGGCGCGGGGTGTGGGGAGGAGGGAAGCGCCCTCCTGCTGCACGCGACGTTGGCATCTGAGTTCGGAGGTCTTAGCGCGCGGGCAGGCTGCGCACAGCGACCGGCAGCGGCAGAAGGGGCGGTCCCCGGCCCGCAGTAGGCGGAGCCCTCCGACGCCAATCCTATATAAGGGCAGCGCCGGGCGGTGTGAGCTATTCCCTGAGACGGTGGCTTGGAGACCGGGACCCCGGCGCTGATTCACGGAGCCACCGAGACCCTCAGAGGAGGTGAGGGAATCGTGGCAGGCAAGAGCGAACGCGGGGCTGGCAGCCCTGAGCGGTGTGGAGCGTGTCCGCCAGTGTCCGTGCACGTCCGTGTGTGTGTGTGTGTGTGTGTGTGTGTGTGTGTGGTCTTCACAGGTGAACGACGTGCGTGGGTCTGGGGTTTGCTTCCACGGGTGTCCCTGTGCGGTGCGCCTGTGACGGAGGTTGGGCTGTGTCGGGGACTCCCGGCGGAGACAGAGCGCAGGAGTGCGAGGAGCCGCGCTCCCCGCGGGTTGAAACGAAGCTGCGGCGAGGGGAGGCGTGGACCCGTGCGCCCCAGACCCCGGCGCGGCTCGCTGTGGCGGCGAGCGGATGAAGCCCCTGAGCGCCGAGCCCCGGGAGGGGCGGAGAACGCCGAGCCGAGCAGGTTCACTCGCGATCCGCTCCCGGGCAGCTCTCCGATCCAATCGGTGCGGTCTCCGCCCAGACCCCTGAGGTCTGGGTCCCCGACGCCTCCGTGTCCGCCACCAGCTGGGCGCTGAGGTCAGCGCGGGCTGTGTCGCCGGTCCTTGGGAACGTGTTGGGACACGTCCTTTAAGCGCAATCGAGGAGGTGACTCACGGTGACAAGGAGACCCCGGGAAACGGACTGGGTGAGGTCAGAGCCCCGCCCGGGCTGGGGGACAGTGGCCCCCCAGAAGTTGGCTTCCCGGCCCTCCGCGGTCTCTGTCCCCGCATCGGCACAGTGACTATTTGGCTGGCACACAGCGTTCTCAGGGAAGCCGGGACATCAGGAGGGCCAGGACTGGGTGTCCGGTCCCCGCCTCGGAGCGCACCCTCGGGGACCCAGAGCGGTGGCCCCGCGCGGGGTGGGCTCGCGCCAGCCAGTCAGTTTGAGAAGAGCAGGAGTGGAACACACCTCTCTTCCATCGCGCCCGCAGAACCCCCGCCCAGCCTGCCCTTGGGTCGGGGCGCGGGACTCCGCCGCGGGCTCGGAGCCCTGCACTGCGGGGCAGCGGGGCGTGCAGCCCACGCCCGGGGCGGGGGGACGCGGAGAGGTCACATTGGAGGGTGGGACTTCGGGGGGGCGCGACGCTGCTCAGGGACTCTGGCAGCCGCACTCGGGGGCTCCCGGCGCCCCCCACCAAAATGCTCTCTCCGAGGGCGACAGGTCTGAGCGGAGCAGGAGGACGAGTCGTCCTTTGGGCGCCGCCGCCCAGCGCGGGGCACCGTGCATCCGCCCAGTCGGGGGCCCTTGGGGGACACTGGCGCCCTCCTCGTGCGAAAAAGAATCTGGGAATTGGATTTGGCACTTTAGGGTGCCCAGGCAGCTCCCCCGCCCCTTTCCTCCCTCCACGTCGCCTTTCGAGTAGGACTTTCGAGCGGTTTTGTTTCCCTTGCTTTCGTCTATTTTTATTTTCCAGGGATCTGACTCATCCCGTGCTTTGGGCGTGGAGAGAAGGTGGAGGGACCAAACCTCTGCGCGCCTGTGCGTGCGGAGTGTGTGTGTGTGTGTGTGTGTGTGTCACAGAGGAGCGCGCGGTTTCCCAACAGTGGCGGGGCTTTCGGAAGCCTGGCTGGCTCAGCGTGACGTGTTTGCGGCCCCCGGTCCCCCTCCTTCTCCCCCCTCCCCACCCGAGGGTGACGCTGCAGCCCGAGTGGAAGCGAAGTTTTGGCGGGCGGGGAGCACTTTGCAGGAAACTGACTCATCACAACTCCCTGCTGCTGTCCAAGGCTCTGCCCACGCACCGCCGACCCTGCGCGTGATTTCCTGGAGACCAGCGCCCCCTTCCGGCCCCGGCGCGAATAGCAAACACGCCTTCCCGCGGAATGCGACTTCGCCCGCCTTTCCTTCCCGCCTCGGTTCTCCTGGGTTGAGCCGCATCTGCGAACGCCCCTTAAAAAGAGTACCCCATTGGTTCAACAGTGTGTACTGAGTGCTTACTGTTTACTTCAGAATTAAAGTTGGTTGAAGTCTAAGGCACAAAGGCCAACAAAGGAAGTTATTTTCAGTTACTTGTTTGTAAAACAAGAGTTTCTGTTTCTGAGTTTTCCCTGAACGGGGAGTTACGATAATGGGAGTGAGATCAGATTTTGATGGGGAGCCTATGAGAGCCATAAGGGCAGGGCTGGTAGGAGAGAGGATCCCTGCCTGGATTCTGGTCCCATCTTCAGCTCCTAGAAGCCAGGGAATATCCCAACTTCCTGACAAAATCCTAGGCAGGCTCCTCCTCCTTGTGCCAATGAGACACTGAGACCCAGAATGTCCGTTTGGGGCATCTCTGTGTACCCTCCCTTGAATGGCACCCCAAGAGTGCCCATCTGCGGAACTGCCAAACACCTGCTTAAATCCTGTTTAATTTGAGTTAAGTTAATCTGGGGAGAGAGGGACCTATCAATCTGTATTTTTAAAAGCTCCCTAAGTGATTCTGCTGGGCGGAATCACAAAAACCCCTTCCTGGGCTAGGAACACAAAACTAGAGAGGGAGTGTGGATGAACACCAGAGCATAGAACCCACAGGAAACAGGCCTGGGTTCAAATCCTGGCTGTGTCACTTGTGAGTTGTGTGACCTTGGGCAAGTTACTTAACTTCTCAGAGGCTTACTTACTTCTGTTAAAAAAATAAAAAGAGCAAATATACCCACTCTTTAGGAAAATTAATATTTGTAAACTTCTTAGAACAGTCCCTGGCACATAAAAATATATAAATCCCCACCCTTGCCCTAAAGAGAGTGGGTGAAGGTTATTTGAGGGCTCTGCCCACTGCACTGCATAACCCTTCTACAGGGCAGTGGCCCTTGGCTTCTTTAGTTTTCTGATTTGGGGGCAAGCCTCATATCTCTCCAAACTCTTGCCCTTTAAACTTGGTCTGAGGTCACCTAGTGCCTCCCCCTCTCCCATAAGCTGTGAGAGGTGGGGTGGGGGAGGGGTGACTGGGGCAAGGGTCCAGGGCTTCCTGCCCCAGGAGGTCACTCAGCAGAGCTTTCACCCTCTGAGCCTGCAGAGCAGGACTTGTCCTCAGGAAGACCCAGTCTTGCCAAGGCTGCACAGCCGCTCAGCCCTGGCGTCAGGCCAGAGCAGGGCAGGTGGGTGCCAGCGCCTCGTCATGAGCAGACTCACCCTCAGTTTTCCCTCTTCTGAAGTGGGAGGAGAGGAACCGGGTAGACCGGCCACCTCTAATTTTCTGTGCCTGCTGAACGGGTTCCTTGGATGCAGCTAACAGCGGGCAGGGGCTTCCAGGCTGTCTAGACTTCAGATCACCTGATGTGCCTGGCAGGATGTGGCTCAGCCTGGGAGAAATCATCACCCTGCCCTGCCCTGCCCAGCCCCTCCTCACCCCCAGGCCTCTCGCCTGATGACATCCTTGGGAAAGGCGCTCAGCACACAGCACCTGTCAGCTGCTGTCTGAAGGAGGTGGTGGCCAGGGGGAACGACGTGGAGAAGGCTCAGGAAGAACTGAACACAGAGAGAAATAATAACACTTCTGTTTTCCAAACACTTCTATATACCAGCTGCTTCTCTAAGCATGTTACCTACAGTAACTCCGTTAATCCTCACGTATGTCCTCTGAGACATGCACTAGTACTGTCTCCATTTTACGGATGAGGAAAATAGAGCCCAGAGAAGTTAAGCTACTTGTCCAGGGTCGCCCAGCAGAGCCTGGATTCCAACCGAGGCAGTCCCGCTCCAGAGCCCTGGCTGTAAACCACAAGATACAGCCTCTCACCTCTGGGTTCTATTGCCTTGCCTGATGAAGGGACTCCCTGGCCAAGTGCTTGACCATGCTTCCACAGCCCCATTTTATAGATGAGAAAACGGGCCCAGAGATATTAAGTGACTTTTTATTTTTTTTAATTCAAAAAAAATTTTTAAAGTGACTTTTTAAAGTTTATGTAGTAAGCAGCAGAGCTAGGACTAGATCTTAGGTGTTTTTTTTTTGTTTTTTTTTTTGAATCGCAAAGTCCGGGGTACTTTTGAATTTCAGAACAGAGTTATCCCACATGGGCATGTGGGTAGAGGGATTCAGGAGGCCAGAGGAGCAGTCAGCCTCTCCTTTCACTCGGGACCTGACCTTTTGGCCAGGGCTGGGGTTGGGAAACTACTGGACTCTGGCAATTCACACGTACTTGGGGCATTCACGCCCATGAGGGACACCTCGGGGGGAAACAAATTGATTTTAGCTGATAATACCCGGTGGTAAACAGGACTCTGATCCCTGCTATTGCAATAAACTTGTCTTTGTTGACATAACTTGTCCTTCAGCTGCCCACTCCCCCAGTGACCTGGGGGTGCCAGGACGGCTGAGCTCTGTCCCCACCGGTGGCTGTTGACTGGGGGTTGGGGATGGCCTGTGGGAAGGAGATGGTGGCAAACCAGCTGGAAGGAGCCAGGGAGACCTCGTGTTCTAGGAGGAAGACGTCACCCAAGCTCTCACAGCAAAGCGCGGCCTGGTAAGGTAGGGCACAATTTCTTGAGTGACCGGCGCCTTGTGTCTCAGCCGCAGGTGCCATGGCGGAACCGTCCAGGGATGCCCAGCAGATCCCGCGTGGAAGCAAGGCTTGCCGCCGCCTCTTCGGCCCCGTGGACAGTGAGCAGCTGCGCCGAGACTGTGACGCACTGATGGCCGGCTGCGTGCAGGAGGCCCGGGAGCGATGGAACTTCGACTTTGTCACCGAGACACCGCTGGAGGGCGACTTTGCCTGGGAGCGCGTGTGGGGCCTGGGCCTGCCCAAGCTCTACCTGCCTGCGGGGCCCCGGGATGACCTGGGAGGGGGCAAGCGGCCCAGCCCCTCACCTGCCCTGCTGCAGGGGACCGCTCAGGAGGACCACCTGGACCTGTCGCTGACCTGCACCCTCATGCCTCACACCCTTGAGCGGCCTGAGGGGTCCCCGGGGGCACCTGGCACCTCTCAGGGCCGAAAACGGCGGCAGACCAGCATGACAGGTGAGCATGGGTGCAGGGAAGGACACTGCAGGGGACTCTCAGAATTCACGGTGCAAGGGCTGACCTGTCTGGTCCAGCTCGCTCATTAGGCCCAAGGGGAAATGGGCCCAGAGGGAGGAGGCAACTCGCCTGAGGTCACATAGCAGGTCTGCAGCCAAGACCAGCTAGCGAACATTTATTGGGAACACTTAATATATGCCAGGCCCCTTGCTAAGGTGAATTTCTAAAAGGGTTTTCTTTTTCCATCTTCCTTCCTTCCTTCCTTCCTTCCTTCCTTCCTTCCTTCCTTTCTTTCTTTCTTTTTCTTTCTTTCTTTCTTTCTTTCTTTCTTTCTTTCTTTCTTTCTTTCTTTCGAGAGAGCACAAGCAGGGGGAGGGGTAGAGAGAGAGGGAGAAGCAGGCTCCCTGCTGAGCAGGGAGCCCAACGCGGGGCTCAATCCCAGGACCCAGAGATCATGACCTGAGCTGAAGGCAGACGCTTCATTGACTGAGCCACCCAGGCGCCCCTAAGGTGGTTTCTAGGGTGGATTTCATTTAATCCTTAGAGCAGTGCTATAGCAAATGACATTCTTGCCACTATTTTATAGGAGCGGAAATAAGACTCCGAGAGGTAGAGTGGTTTGCCTAAGGTCCCACAGTGAATCTACAGTGTAGAGAAAACTAATGAGCTATTTCCCAGCTGCCCTATCCAAACCTAACTCACCTTCCCCATCACACACACACTTCCCATCCACCTTCCCTGCCTAATTTTTTCTCTTTGGCATTTTGTTCATTTGTTTGCTTTTACTAGCAACAGCTACTGCCTTCTCTTGGTGTTGTCCATCTCCCTCATAGGTTATTATCTCCATGGGAAAGGGATCTGCATCTCTCTTGTTTGTTGCTGAATCTTCAGCACCTAGGACAGTGTCTGGCACGTAGTAGGTGCTTGATAAAAAATGAATGAGCAATGCTGACCTTTGAGCACGTATTATGCCAGGTTCCAGACCAAAGCCTTTAGAGAGGGCATTTCATTCAATCCTTAGATCACTGCACCAATGTCAGCTTCATTTTATACATGAGGAAACAGGCTCGGAGAGGTGCAGTCAAGAATCCCCTGGCAGGGGCGCCTGGGTGGCTCAGTCGGTTAAGCGTCCAACTCTTGGTCTCGGCTCAGGTCTTTATCTCAGTGTCATGAATTTAAGGCCCATGTTGGGCTCCATGCTGGGCATGGAGCCTACTTAAAAAAAAACAAAAACAAAACAAGAATCCCATGGCAAATTCGCATCTGGGTCAGAAATAACAATACTGACAATAATACTAATAGCTTACATTTATGTGGCTGAGTCATTGTACAGAACACTTGTCATGGCTTATCTAACGGCATTCCTGGAGCAGTGCTGTTTAATGGAATTCTGTGGTGATGCAAATGTCCAGGGCCACTAGCCACAAATAGCCACTGAGCATTTGACATGTGGCTGGTGTGACTGAGAAACTGAACTTCTGATTTTATTTGATTCTAGTTCATTTAACTACATAGAGCTACTGGCTACCATAGTGGGCAACTTGGCTTAGAACAGGCCCACGGATGTAGGTCTGGTTATCGTTGGTCACGTCTGTGAAGCGTGGTGGGATGCTCTCTATAATGCCAGAGTCCTCCCCTGAACTTGAAAATGTGTCCCTTTGGCCCTAGGGAAGAGTCTCTGCCCCCTCTGCATGTGCTTTAGGTGGATAGCTCTGCTGGGCCCTCTGCCTCCTGCTCGGCTGACTTCTGTTTTCTCTTTCCAGATTTCTATCACTCCAAACGCCGGCTGATCTTCTCCAAGAGGAAGCCCTAATCCACCCACTCGAAGCCTCAAGCTCCTAGAAAGGAGGGGTCCCCCCCAACCCCTCCGCCCTCCCCTTCTACACCTGTTGCCTTTAGTCCTCCAGTTGTGCGTCTTAATTATTATTTGTGTTTTAATTTAAACTGCTCCTCATGTATATACCCTGCTCGCCACCACCCTCCCCCCATTCTTCCCCAGCCTTTGGCATTTAGAATTATTTAAAAAACCATTAGACCGCAAAATGATAGGCTTATTAGAGTGCTAGGTATTTTTATTATGCGAGCTATTATTTAAGACGTCTTCATCCTGTGCTCCCCACTTCCGCTCTCCCAGAGGTAAGGTGGGGCTGGCCTGACCCTCCCCTGCTGGGTGGTGCTCTCTGGAGGAGCCTGGCTCCCTCTGCTCACCGCCTCATAGGTGTTATGAAATTCCACCCCTTTCCTGCATTCCCAAACCCGGATTCTTTATAATTTGAGAAGTAAATAGATAGCACTTTGAAGGGGGCTCAGCAGGGTGGGGGCATCATCAAAACTTTGGAGTTCCCCTCACCTTCTCTAAGGTAGGGCAGGGTGACCTTGAAGTGGGCACAGCCTGGAACACGACTGGGGATGTGGCACTCTCTCCTGGCCCTTGATGCCCCACTCTGTCCTGTGAAGGCATGGGGAAAGGTAGGGTCCCGTAGCAAACCACCCCACCTCCCCTCACCCCCTCTGCCACTCACAGGGGAGCCAGTCTCAATGTTTGGCTTCCCCTGCACTTTTCTAGAAGCCCCAGATGCCCTTCTTTTCCAGCTGGGCTTTCAGGTCCCCTCTCTGCTCCCCTCCCCTCCCCCATGCCCTTTCCCTCTAGTACCCTCTCAGCCCTGGGTGGCAGCTCTGGGGTGCCTGTCCCCCCAGCTCAGTGGGCTGGGAGGGGAAGGGGTATGCTAGAAGTGGGGGGGCAGTTCTACCTCAGGCAGTTCAAGGGGCGACTACCACCTCCTCTTACCTCCTGGGGCAGAGGTCCTGGGTTGTCAGACAGGTCTTCTTGAGTGGGGAATCTCTGTCAGGGGTATGTTGAGGGGGGAGCATATTTTTCTAGGAGGGAGAGGGTGACCCTAGCCCCTGGAACTCACCCAAAGACTTTCCCCACTGCCCCACCCCCCTTTCCCCCCATTTCATTGCACTTTGAATAGCAGCTGAACAAGGAGTCAGATGTTTTAAGACGGTGGGGGTAGAGGCTGTGGAGAGGGCATGCTAAGTGAGCTAATACGGGCCTGGCAGTTGTGAGCTATTGTCTTTCCTGGCACTGAACATTGAGCCCCTGGAGGCACCGAAGCACTTAGTGGGTCTGACCCCAGACACCTTAAGCTCCTGTAACATCCTGGCCTGGACTGTTTCCTCCTGGCTCCTCATGTGTCCTGGTTCTAGACTGTAAGCCTCTGAAGGGCAGGAACAAGTCCTATACTGCTCTGTGTCCTTCACGGCCCCTCCCACAGGGCTGGGTATACAGCAGGTGCTCAATAAATATTTCTTAGTGACTTTACTTGTGATCAATATGCCTCATCATTTGTAAGAACGAGTAGGTGGAAATTTTTTTGGTAGTTGTTACAATACTGACAGTTAAGCATTTAAAGTTAAAAAAAGGTAGAGAGCTTAACAAACAGAAAGACCATGAGGCAAAAGATGACAGCAAAACAAAAACAGTAAACATGGCACCTCTGCAAAGGTTGCCACGGTCAATATTTTGGTTCATTGTGTGGCCTTTTTAAGTAAAGAACATAATGTTAGTCACCAAGGAAATGCTAATCATTACTCTTTGGGGGAAATGCACATTAAAACCACAGTAAGATAACACTGTACACCTACCAGAATGACTAAAATGAAAAAGACTGACATTGGCAAGTGTGGGCAAAGATAGGGAACAACCGGAACTCTTACACCTTCAGGCGGAAGTATAACATAGCTCACCTACTTTAGAAAACTGCTTGACAATACCTTTTAAGGATGGCTCCCCTCATGTCCACCCCATGACACAGGAATTCCATTCCTAAGTTTGTTCTCAAGAGAAATCAGTACATATTTCCATCAGAAGGCATGTTCATAGCAGCGTTATTCTTGACAGACCCAAACTGGAAACAACCCAAACGTCTATAACGAGAATAGATACGTAGGGGCGCCTGGGTGGCTCAGTTGGTTGAGCATCTGCCTTCGGCTCAGGTCATGACCTCAGGGTCCTGGGATCGAGCCCCACATTGGGCTCTGTTGGGCTCTGCGCTCAGTGAGAAGCCTGCTTCTCCGTCTCCCTCTGCCTGCCGCTCCCCCTGCTCGTGCTTTCTCTCCATCAAATAAAAAAATAAAATCTTAAGAACAGATACGTAAATTGTGGTGGCTCTGTAGTGGAGTACTACACAACATTAAAAAGAACGAAGTGACCCACAACTCTAATCTTCGACAAAGCAGGAAAGAATATCCAATGGAAAAAACACAGTCTCTTCAACAAATGGTGTTGGGAAAACTGGACAGCCACAAGCAGAAGAATGAAACTGGGCCACTTTCTCACACCATTCACAAAAATAAATTCAAAATGGATGAAAGGCCAGATGTGAGGCAGGAATCCATCAAAATCCTAGAGGAGAACACAGGCAGCAACCTCTTCGACCTCAGCCGCAGCAACTTCTTCCTAGAAACATCGCCAAAGGCAAGGGAAGCAAGGGCAAAAATGAACTATCGGGACCTCATCAAGATAAAAAGCTTCTGCACAGCAAAGGAAACAATCAACAAAACTGAAAGGCAGCCTATAGAATGGGAGAAGATATTTGCAAATGACATACCTGAAAAGGGCTGGTACCCAAGATCTATAAAGAACTTGTCAAACTCAACACCCAAAGAGCAAATAATCCAATCAAGAAAGGGGCAGAAGACATGAATGAACATTTTTTGAAAGAAGACATACAGATGGCCAACAGACACATGAAAAGATGCTTAATGTCACTCATCATCAGGGAAATAGAAAACAAAACCAGGATGAGATGCCACCTCACACCCGTCAGAATGGCTAAAATTAACACAACAAACAACAGATGTTGGGGAGGATGCGGAGAAAGGGGAATCCTCCTTGGGAGGGATTGCAAGCTGGTGGGAATGCAAGCTGGTGCAGCCACTCTGGAAAACAGTATGGAGGTTCCTCAAAAAGTTAAAAATAGAACTACCCTATGACCCAGCAATTGCATTACTAGGTATTTAGTCAAAACATACAAAAATAGGGATTCAAAGGGGCGCATGAACCCCAATGTTTATAGCAACATTATCAACAATAGCCAAATTATGGAAGGAGCCCAAATGTCCATCAACAGATGATTAGATAAAGAAGATGTGGTGTATATATATCTATATGCAATGGAATATTACTCAGCCATCAAAAAGAATGAAATCTTGCCATTTGCAACGATGTGGATGGAACTAGAGGGTATTATCTAAACGAAATAAGTCTGAGAAAGACAAATACCATATGATTTCACTCACATGTGGGATTTAAGAAACAAAACATGAACTTAGGGGAAGGGAAGGAAAAATAAAATAAGATGAAAACAGAGAGGGAGGAAAACCATAAGAGACTAATTGAGAGAACAAACTGAGGGGCGCCTGGGTGGCTCAGTCAGTTAAGCATCTGACTCTTGATTTCAGTTCAGGTCATGATCTCAGGGTTTTGAAATCGAGCCCAGCGTCAGGCTCCGCGCTCAGTAGGGAGTCTGCTGGAGAATCTCTCCCTCTCCCTATGCCCCTCCCCCCACTCATGGGTGCTCTCTCTCTCTCTAAAATAAATAAATCTAAAAAAAAAGAATAAACTTTGGGTTGCTGGAGGGGCGGTGGGGGTGGGTGGGCTAAATGGGTGATGGGCATTAAAGAGTGCACTTGTGATGAGAACTGGGTGTTATATCTAAGTGATGAATCACTACATTCTACTCCTGAAACCAATATCACACTATATGTTAACTAACTAGAATTTAAATAAAAATTTGAAAAAGATAAAAAAAAGAACAAAGTACTTTACATGCATGTTCTGAGTATCTATTCATAATTAGCCACTCCAAGACAATTAGTGGCTTAAAACAATAATAATTTATTTGCTTCTGATTCTGTTAATTTGGCCAAGAACTACTTTTCAAATGTTGGATAATGCTCTGCCATATGGGGCATGGCTTTGTTCCAGAACCCTAGTGGTCTGAGTTAGGGCTCTCCTGCTGGGGCTCTTCAGAGACTTCACACTGTCTACTTGTCTTCCATGGATATTTCTAGTACCAGGGGATACACTGGCTTGTAGGTCCCGAGTGCTTGTCCTATGGACCTGTCACAGAGCCCTCTTTTGTTCTGGGCTCTACTCAAACATGGCAGCTCCCTATGGCATCCAGTCAATTGGCCAGAGCAGTAATATATAGCCTCCAAAGTCCAAACAGGCTCATCAGTGCTATGCCTCTTTTTAGGGGGAGCATGTCCACAGTACAGTGACTTGTCCTTTCCTCTAGAGGGAATGTCCCAGCATGTCCCAGTTCATTTGACCACTTAAAACGTAACATGACAGGTCTCTGAATTTTTGTAGGAAATGTGAATATGACCCTTTTTTTTTATCCCCATTCCTGAAATGGCTTGGAAAGAATGCATTGGCCATATTATTAGCTTCTTCCACTCAGAGGCTGTGTAGACTATTCTAGCAAAGATACCATATCTGTTATAGTATCTGCTACTTTATTAGGGTTACTATGTGGGTAACCATCAATTGCCATGCTTCATTTGCAGTATGGGACGGACTGAATGGGGATCTGATGGGGACCACCTTGCATACTCTAGGTCTTTGAGAGTAACGCTAATCTCCGCACTTCTACCTGCTATGTGGGATTGCTTCTGATTTACCGTCTTGACTAGTAGGATAATTTTAGAGACTCTGCTCCATCCTTCTTTCCATAATGGCTCTTATTCTGCAGATAAAAGAACCAGTCAGTGAGGGTTCTGCCAACTGCTAAATATATCCACCCCAATTTGTACTCAGGGGCTGGGAGATAACCACAGAGTCAGTCCACAGGCCCACTGGACTCTGAGACACACCTGGCTGGGACTCTGTTATCACCCAGCCTCGCATGTTTCCCTCCTCTAAAAGGAGGCTATGATGGTATTTTGGGTCGCCCGGTACTGGTCTAAGCTCAGACTCTGTATCTAATAGACCTCCAAAGAGCTTTTCCACACTGTACAGCTATTCTGGTAAATAGCCAGAGGGCACTTTGAAGGAAGAATTCAGGAAGTAATTATTTAGTATATTTACAGTGACTTTATGGGTCTTTTTCTTCAGTCAGTCAGTCTGGGTCTGAGAACCAGCTCATACCTGGCAGCTGGGTGAGAGATTGTGATTTTCTATCAAGGCAACTGGTATCAGCTTCTGCTCACCCCCGCCCCATCCTGATCTGTTGTGGTTCAGTCAAGCAATGTCCCATTAAGTGCTCCTCTCTCTTACCCCTGGGAATGCCCCGGCCACA